TGCAATTATTTAGGCCTGTTAATTCATCTTAGAAAAAAAAAAAGAAAATAAATTACGTTGAGAATTACAACGAAGGATGCAAGCTGCACAACGCAGAGCGAGATCAGTTTGGGTAAAGTATGTATCTAGAGTCCTTGACCCAGTAATTTTCTGCTTTTTTCGAGCATCAGAACCCTTGCATGTGTTTTGTAGCCGGGAACCATGATATCTGAAACGTATGTTTACTTTTTCTTTTTTCCTTTTGTTTTTAAGCATGCACGCATGACAACCATTGACTCAATCCCAGATTTCAGGTCTTGTATATTTTTTTTGCAACATTATTCGAATGCAAAAGGTGCTGTCATTTAGGCAGAAACATATCTTATTAACTTGAATACCAGCTGAACGTTTAGAAAAAAGCGATGGAGAGCTATAGGGGGTATTCAAGTAAGCATGTCTAACCAACCGGCTCGGCTCCAGGCCGTCATAATATCTTATTAAACTTGCGTGGTACATATGTATGCACTAACCATAAAAAAATAATTAAAAAAATTGTTGTTTTGAAGAATTGGTTGAAAGGGTTCTACTATCGATTTCTGCGGTTTAGAAGGAACAAATTGAAAAAGAAATTAGGACCACTTTACCGAAATTAGTGTTTTCAGTTCATGACTCCTCACCTACAAAACCGCATTCTTGGCTTCTAGTAAACCATCGCGTATGTAATTTGGGAATTTGAGGAGTAAACATACGAGCAACAGAAATGTTGCCGTGAGTGTTGGGGAACTACTGTAAATGGCTTAATTTTCACGAGAACCTTATTCTCGCGATTGCGAATCGCCTACTATTCGCGAAAAATGGGTCCCGCGAACTATTCCGGTCAAATGTAAACCGATTTGAATCTATATTGAGATCCCACCTCTTCGCGAAAATGAGAACCCGCGAATGATTCCAAAACTTTCAGCTTTGACCTAAATCGCGAAATATTGAACCTGCGAAAAATAAATCGCTTACGGTATATACCGTATTTACTCAAGTAAGAGCGGCACTATATATGAACAAGGCCCTTGCGTCTACTTTTCCACAGAACACATATACAGCCAATCATTGCGTTGCGCATAAATAGCATAGCGAATAGCCAGATCGAGAACACGATTCTCCATACAAATGCAATCTTCACGAATGGTATCTTCGCACGAAGACGTTATCTCTGTCCTGTAAAGAGCTGGAATCATGCTATCTATCGCAGTGATTGGCAATCTGCATGCTACGCGAAAAAGCGAACCCTCATGTTTTCTCCTTAAACAGTGCGACTATTACTCGAGTAAATACGGTATATATTTTAGTGTGGTAATAATAACAGTAATAGCTTTATTTGCAATGGAAGTATTAAAAATATGGTGGGAGCTAAGGGAAAAAAAAGCTGTCCAAGCTGCTAGGCTGGTCCTCATCCCTTATTCAGGTGTGCTAATGGCAATTCTTATGTTTGAAGAAAGGTTGAAAGGCTCTCAACCAAAGTTTCAACTCGTCCTTTCCATTCGGGAAAGAGGGCAACCCTCCCTTTTCCGACGTGGAGTAACTCAGAGACCCGCTCCTATGTGGAGAGGAGGGGAGAAGAGGGCGAGAAAGAAGGGAGAGAAGGAAACTGGGATCCGGTTTTCTGCCCGGCAGAAGACGATTCCGTAGGTCGTGTTTTAAAGCGGTACGGAAACGAAATGTTTGCTCTTATTTCTTTGATTAGATATGGTCTATGTTTTGGCGTCATTCCAGTAACACTAGTCTAGGCTAGAGTCACTAAAAGAGTATCGGCACTCCCTTCCCCGATCTGCTAGTGGGCGCCGCCATCTTGGTTCTTAATGCAGAGCAGACACAATTGTCGAAAGTCACAATTAAAAAATGCAACTTCCTCAGCTTTTGATACGGTGTTAGGACGCTCAGGTGAAATTGTTTTGCTCTCTCGCAAACTGTTTTTACATTTCTGAAGGGCGGAAAGGCGTTTCTTGTGATTTCAAATAGAGTTTCAAATAACTTGCAACCATGATCTTCAGCACCAAGATGGCTGAAGTGCGGTTACTCTAAGACGTAGATTATTTAGTGGCTCCAGTCTAGACATTGTTTCTGAGCTCGGCGCAAAACTCAAGAAAACTAATTTTAAAACGAATGAACAGGTTTCATGATTGCGCCTGTTGGCGGTTTGTGAAGCTCCGTTGGAATGCCGCCATGTCATCGTCCTCTAAGATAGCGCCAGTTCGCGGCAGTATGGCCCCCTCGTGGAGTTACTTAGTCCTGAATGTGACTTGGCGAAGAACGCTAACCAGTCTACTACGTTGTATATGTTAATTTCCAGAGTGCTTCCGCAAGGTGCATTCCAGACCATCAAGATCGCCGTTCTTTTGCCGACGCGTTAGGTAGGAGCTTGGATGCGAGGACCTGCCAGGCCAACCAGACCACTCCCCCCCTCCCCGAAGAGACGCTGTGAACAACGCGCTCGAATGTGTGTTGAATACCCAGTGAATACCTTATTACACCGCTTGCAGGTGTCAACATTGCCGAGTACTGACGGTTCCTTTTAGTTAGGGTTAGGTTTAGGTTAGGTTGGGTTGGGTTAGGTTTTCTCGAGCTGCGGTGTGAAACTTACACAGTGAACCGAAAGCTCGTGGTGTATAAAATACCGGCATGGCCGCAAACGACGTTACGGGCAAGCTATATATGTATATGCCATATGGTGTACAGTCATCCTCAGATATTACTACTACGCGAGATTCTCACGCGTTGACACCACCAAGCGGCAATGCTCGCAACTACAGTACCCTTGACCGTGCAGGAGCCTTTGACGTCACGAGCCCGATACGCACTGCGCTTCTCGGTGGCCGCTTTTTAAGCGAGGACGGTAGAGAGCTCGTGCTCACGTCATTTTGTTTCCCTACCCTTTAAAGGGGCGGTGCAGCGATATTTGATTGTAATGTTTTTCACTTTACACGAGCTTACTGGCACAAGTGGAACTCATGAATACTCGCGCGCAACGCCACTGACCAAGAAACTTTTTTGTTGCGGTCTAATTTCAAGGACAAAAGGGATAATTTTCATTCAATCTCTCCTTCGCAAAATGTGGTGACGTAACGTGGGGATCGCAGTACACCCCAATGACGATATTTGAATGCGGTTCATCGATTGCACCCGAGTATTGCGTAGGCACTCGATTTGGGCTCGTGATAATTACTAGCTCGAGAACCATTCGGGTAGTGTAGGGTGACCACCCGTCCCGCGACTCGCGGGACTGTCCCGCATTGAGAACTCGTGTCTTGCGTCCCGCAAGAAATTTCAAAACCTTCAAAATGTCCCGCATTTCATATTGTCGTAAAATTCACTCTGCAACTCATAGTGCTGTCGAACAACGGGACGTGGGGAAGCGCGGAGGTCGATGGTAGTCGAATGCATCACAATGGTATGCCATTTTCTATCCAAGCATTGCGGAAAGCGACCGTCGTTCTTGCAAGAGCACCGATGCGCATGCTCCGTTGTGCTTGGTGGCAAACTATTGTAAGAAAAACTCCTCGCAAAAAGTTTAAATATAAAATATTGTGATTATATTCGAATCACTGTGTCATTAAATTCAAATCAGTGTGTCGATGTAAAAACTAGGGTTGATGTGGATTTTTTTAGTGAAGACAGCCACACAAGGCAACAAGTCTGCACTCACAACGGTCGAGAAAAAAAACAATGTTGAAATGTGTGCACGATCATGTTGATAAATGTAAGCGTTGAGAGTAAACAATAACCCGAAAAAGTTTACTGTATGTTATTTCCATTTGTTGCATTGAGTTCTGCTACAATCGGTTTTTATGTTTTCAACTTCGAAACATGTAATAACACATTTGGCATAAGAATATATCACTGGGAGTGAAAATTATCTGAGATTAATTGTTGCAACACAATTAGCAAGTGTATAAACAGAAGAGGATACTAAATGTGTTAACAGGGCCTCGGTTTGTGGTGTGCGTGCTGATAAAGTCCCCCTCCCCCCCCCCTGCCCCGCGTGTCCCGCATTTCGCTAGGAGGAAGGTGGTCACCCTAGGGTAGTGGCCCGTGTCCAATCGCTGCAACGACGACAGTAGCCGAGCTATAACAATGTCTGGAACTCAGCGCGTGACTGTGATCAACATTGGCGGCATATAATCGGCTCCAGATCACGTGGCCGCTTGTTCTGGCTGCGAGTTGAGGGGATAAACGCTGCTCGTTTTTCTTTATATATTGGGGGACTTCTATTGCGTGGGGGTGAAAAGCGAACGCGTGTTTTAATGGTCATTAATGTCAGGGATCAGTTCTTAACGGTATTTGCGCAAAGTAAAAAAATGTTTGCATCGCCCCTTTAAGGTTGTGCGCGTTTTTCGAATATTACAAATTGGAAACAACGAAGGAAGCGTCATTTAGGGCGATTGAAAATAAAGGGACGTCAAATACCATTACCTATGGACGCTTTGCAGGAGGCTGTGCATGGGCGCCGCCACAACCGACCTTCATTTTTTGTTTCTTCTTATTCTGTTCGCTTCGCTTCATCATTGCCACAGCAGGACAGGTATATTGCCACTTAACGTGTTACCGTGTCCTTCTCTACAGCATTGGCCTTTGTGGAAGCTCTTCAACGCCCGCTTCACTGGCTCGGCATCTTGGTAAGACAAGAGGAGGTTGGCAATGGCGGCTCAAATTGGCGCGTGTTTATAGCGTCTATAGGCTTAAATGATAATAATCCCCTGGAGAAGGAGTATAAAGGCCGGTTCTCACATGCAGCGAAGCGCTGATGTAGCGCTCCTCACGTGTCGTCAGCTACTTATCGTCTGCCATGAGCAACAGTTTTGACGTTGCGATACAAAGCTGGTGAACGCTGCCGTCAGCACGCTCTAAGCGCGAGGTTAGCGCTGTGCTTGTAGCGCTCCGCTGCATGTGTGAACAGGCCTTAAATGGGACAAAGGACAAACACAAATCTCCAAACACAACTAGGTAACTGATGCGCGCTGAAAAAAATCCGCCTGGTCCTGGTATCGAACCAGGGACATCACCATTGCCAGTGGAGCGCTCTACCAACTGAGCTAACCAGGAGTTGGAGGCCAGTAGAGCAAACGGGTTGTGTCAGCTACCCCCCCTCCCCCCCCCCCCCCCCCCCCTTTATTTCCCTTCTCCAGAGATTATTACCGTTTACTCTGTTCAGCTCGACTGCACCTTTGCATTAATGCATTCGCATCATAACCTTAAAATGCAGGCCGTTCATGCTTGTTTGTGTTAAACTTGTGGCAGCTGATAAAACCCATTCGCTCTACTGACGCCTAACTCCTGGTACGCTCCACTGGAAATGGAGAGGTCCCTAGTTTGATACCAGGACCAGGCGAATTTCTTTCAGTCGCGCACCAGTCACCTAGTTGTGTTTGAAATTTTGTGTTTGTCCTTTGTCATCATTATTTCCGTTCTGCAGGGATTATTATCATTCATTCTGTCCAACTCGCTTGCATCTTTAGCATTAATTGCATTAACATCATAACCTAGAGCCTCACCTGGCCCTGGTGCTGCCAGACAAAAAGCTGCCCTTTTTCTGTCTGTCAATGACTCCCGTGTAGAAATAAAAGAAAGCTTCGAATTGAATATACACCGACTCATGTTTACAAACTAACCTGAGCGCCGCTATCTGCAAGTCAACGTCGCCGCGCATGCGCGGTGGGGTATTGGCAGAAAGCGCCGCGTCCCCTCATAAAAAAAAAAAAAAAAAGAAACATTGAAATGGGATGTTTGCGGCGTCTGTGTGGAGTTTCCGTACTCCTTTTCGCGTTGGAATTATTGATTCTTCGCCTTTCTAGCTATGCCTTACTACTTTAGTGGTCCGTGCGAAATGAACGAGGCTCGTTACAGCGGAAAACTTTGTGTAAATAATGTAACGTGCGACGAATCATTCCCCGTGAACGTCGCAGAATGGACGCTAAAGCCTGATTCACACGATGAGATTTTGCTTGCTATTTTCAGTCGTGACGTCGATCGGGCTACAAAAGAACCGTGGACAGTAAGCTGTGATGCTGGACGTCGATACTGAAATTTGCAAACATAATCGTACCAAGTGAATCAGGCATAACAAGTCGGTGATGGCCACAGGTAGGAAAAGATCGACATCTCCTTGTATCCATACTGTTTACACCGAGACCATACGTACGTACCCCAAGCAACCCTTCAATCTTAAAAGTGAACACGGAATCCTAGTTATCTTTCAGCTCTACACACCTCCCCAAAGTCACCTAAATATGCGACGAGTTTTCTCCCCTTCTGACTCTCATCAAAGTTTTTTTGTTTTTTTTATATATACACTTTTTTTAGTAATGCTCGATTAGGCAAGCGAGTGGTGCAGATCTATATACGAAAGCCTGACCTGGTTTCGTCCTCCTAACAACGAAAGTCAATCCATCATCCGAAATTTCCCGAAGCATAATTTGTCTTTCCTCGTCTCGCTCTTTCTTTCTCCGATTCAATAATTGATCCCTTCGTAGTATTTTTTTTTTTTCGATGTAGAGTCGCTCACAGTTTCAGAATCGCAGAGTGTGACTTAACTCTAAAAAATGCCTGCGAGTCTACTTGCCCGCAAAGTACTCGAAGACCCAATCTCTACTATCTACGAAATCAACTCAGCGAATGATGAGGCGGAACATTCCTTTAGACCTAAAACTGAAGTCTGCGCTGAGGCATTACGCAAAGCCAAATGTCATGCTTGCATTGCGTAATGCCACAGCGCTGGCTTAATTTTAAGGTATAAATAGATGTTCCGCCTCATCATTCGCTGAGCTGATTTCGTAGATCGCTGAGACGGGCTTTCGGGGGGGGGGGGGGGGGGGGGGGGGGAGGTATTTCTCAAGAATTGTAAACGAAATACACTTCATCGTGATTGTATCGCGATACAAAGGAACATTCCAAATGTATTTCGATACAGGAATACAGATACTGGTGGAAAAATGTATCGCGATGCAGAGATACAGATACGAAATGTATTTCTGAAATACTATCGCGATACATTTGTATCGCGATACTGCCCAACCCTGGCGTCATACGTACTGTCAAATTGATTTATTCACTTTTAGAAACTACATGTCTTGCTGCTCACCCGCTATGAAATATGGGTTCAGAAAGTGTTGGAATCAGGCGTACATTGCGGTAGTAGCCAGTGCGCAGCGGGCGAGCATCGTTTGCATTGGATGGGAAGGTGGCGCCCCTGTCGGTGTTTCCGTGAAGCCGGCGCAATGGTAGCAAAGCACGGGGAAGCCAGAGATTGGGCAGGCATAATCATTATGAAGGAGGCTATGGCTTACTTCATGCGAAGCACGGCTCTGATGCGAAGTGTATACCAGCTCAAACCGTTTTTTTTTTTTTTTCAGGACCTCGTAGGGTTTTAGTTTTTTCCCCCTGAGATTACAACGATTGGCTCTTCCGCCCCCTAACAAAAAAAAAAAGATGGCTTTTTTTTTTTTTTTTTTGCAGAACATTGAGACAGCTAATCACAACGAAAAACACGATGATTCCAGCAAATCACAAAGCTCAAAACATGATTTAGCAAAAATTAAAAAAAAAAAAAAGTGCGATGTGCTCCGGGACATTGATTTTGACGTTTGATTTACTCATTGTTTCCGTCTAATTTGAGACCTGAACGTATTCTGAGGCTTCATCATCCACTAATATTCTCCTATATTGCTTGCCGTGACTGGATCTGTACGTGTTTTGCAAAAGCGTGAACTTATCATTTTTTTTTAAAGTGCAACTTTAGTGAAAGAAACCATATCTACGATTCTCTTGAATGAACAGGCGAGAAAAAATAACGTATAAGATATCGGAACTCATTACGCGCATTATACACTCTTCTTATAATTCAGCTAAGCTCCGATACGTTTGTCGCGCAAATCACACATGGATTTGTTCCTTTTTTTCTATGGAAAGTGCTCCGCCGGAAAATAGACGCACTCGATTTCTTCGACTGCACGTATGAACACGAATCAGATACATCCCCATATCCACTTTCAGCACACGACGAGGCCGCCTCAGAAGCGTCGGATGTTCCATTTCGGGCTCGGAAGCCCAAGTTTGAGGATCGCAACACCGCGGGCGGGGTTTGACCCTCCTCCGGGAAATCTGCGGGCGTGTAACTCGTATAAAGTCTCGCAGTTGCTTCGCGACGCAAAAGCCCTGCATTAAATGGCAATTACGAGGAAAGCGCGTCGATCGGGTTGGTGAAACTGTGGACATATACTGTGATCAAGACTTGGTTCAAACTATATGCCGTCACGCTCCTGGAAATCGTGTGCCGATTTGAACTCGCGAACGTCCGGGAACGGTCCGTTTTGAACAACTTGGGCAGGCGTTTCACGTTGCGAATATGGGTTAGTTTTGGCATTGCGTCTTTACGTGCGAACGCAAGCACTGTGCGTTTGCGTTAGCGTTAATTGCGTGTTCCACACTGCGCTTGCGCGGAGCCCAAAACTGCGGACTTGAATCGGCGACGCACAACAGCGTTTGCTCCTCCTGTACACAACACTATAGTGCTCCTAATAACGATGCGTGCAACTTTAGTTGGGTCTAACGTACACTTCTGTTGTCTGTGAGAACTTAGGAAATGCAGGGAATGGTGAATCCTGAACATTTCACTACTCTTCGCAGTTTAGGACTGTCGAAATGTTCGTTTTGGCGCTACGGACGTTTCAAAATTATGTAATTAGAACACACACACACACACAAATAAAAACGCATGTTGAAGTAACAGAGCATGAACACAGTTTCCTAAATAAGCCGTCAGTGACAGCAAAATCGCAATATAGTAAACTCGATGCCGGTCGTAAAAACAACAAAAACTTCGTGCCTGTTTGTTTTTTTTTTGTTTTGATTGGGAATGAAGTTTTATATTGCGGGTGCGAATTTAGGTCTCCAAGAAACTTGAGCAGTGTCTATCGCATAGAGCAGGGGTGACCAAGCTGCGGCTCGCGAGCCACATGCAACTCTTCGCGAGTTGAAGTACGGCTCGTGGCTCCCTCACCCCCCCCCCCCCCCCCCCACACACACACACACATACACACTCCTCCGCCTCCCTCCCGGTCACACGAGCACTTTTCCCCAAAAAGAGAAATGAAACGCGTTTTAAATCGAAAGACAGGTTGCGGTTTGATAGCGGTGTGCTACCTTACGTGCACTTCGATTGCTTTTGACTCGGATAGATTGAAAGTAGTTCGAGTTTCGTTCATTGCTTTAAACAAATGTTTGGACACCCTCCCGCGGCTCTTGGAAGTTTCGTGGTTTTGTTTGCGGCTCTTAGGCCACGTCAGCCTGGCCATCCTTGGCATATACTAATAAAAAAAAAATGTATATGTGAGTTATGCAATAAACGTATAAGACCTTCTTTGAACTATGTAAGACCTATACACGTTTTTGCGTATTTTTATATGTTCTCATAGGTCTATGTTTTTATACAGATTCATTTAATAAAGTTTTCAAAGTACTGAGTGATCTAGATAAACTAGAAACGAGTCATAGTTCGTTACTTATCAGCAATAGCAGACCAGTACAGAAGCGGTACATTAGAGGACCCAATTTCTAAAACAAGCTGGTAATATCTATAAGTTATATCTGGTAATCCAGAATGGGAAACTAATTTAAATTCTCTTCTCAAGGACGCAATTAATTGCAGAGAGGGTGCGACGAGTTTGGTTGTGAATTCACGATTTGTTGCGAACGGAAAACTTTTTTTTTCTGCTGAGACATGTGACTTCTGTGACTTTCTTATGTGGAAGCCCCAGTAAATATACTCACCTTTGTATATATATATATATTCAAAGATATAATATATATATATTATTTGTTCTTTAATACCGATTTTGAGTCCTACTTATAACCTCAAAGTATCTGTATTTGCTTTAAATCGAACTTTACTCGTACTTACAAGCCACGACGGGGTTGGGAGAGGTTTTTTTTCCTCCTGGAACGTATTGACGTCATTGGTTGTTCTAAATTAGGCCCGCACTGGGCACGGTCGGCACACCGCAGTGGTTTGGACGAAGTTCTTCGGGTAGGAGTCGCCGAAGAAGCGC